AGGTTCGTTGCATTTATCACGGACGCATTTAAATATATTATTGTTTAGACAACGATTCCAAGCTTTAAATCTATGCAACACAACACGTGTACGCTTTATTAAATTATTATTATTTTTCAACGCCACCGTGTGTGTATATGGTATGTAAAAATCAAATAAATAAATAAAATAAAAAACTTAACGAAAAAATACACACAAAATAGCAACATCAAAATTTTAGTAAACGAAACACGTCGTCCAGCAACAAAGATAATAATTTTTTATCGCAGTCATAGTATTAACAAGTCGATACTGTTAGTCGACACGCATGTATATTTAACAAATCTGAATCTTCGTCGTTCGTCGTGAGCCAACATAACACGTACACGTAGCAATAAGAAATATTTTATTGTAATTAAAACTAATGAACAACAAACCATCACTACCTTTGCATTCACAATACATGTGTATTATATATGCATGTATGTATGTAACGCCGTCATTTTTAACGTTTCCGATTCATAAATGCAATTTGATTTCCATATCACATGATATATTCCAAGAGTGTATTTTACTATAATGCAGTGCTATATAATTGTAGTAGTAACTATAGACAAACGGGACAGCTGCAAAACACTGTAAAGTATACGATTACAAAAGCATTTCTATGATGTTTCACATAATAAAGATTCTCTTATGTTACTGTAGATTTTAGCTAAAATTCTAAACAATTTGACCCGCACTGGCGCAACATTATTTAAAAGGTAAAATTAATTAATTTACTACTTCAAAGTATCAAAGCACACTTTGAAAAAATTTTACCACAAAGACTTTTATAAAATACGGTTTCATTTAATAGTAGTTACGATTTATAAGCATGACCAACCTCTAGTCATGAATGATTTCTGTTCATCGGGAGACGTTAAATGAAAATAAACTTCACTAAAAATGTTCAACTCTGGGTTCATCATTCTTATAATAAAATGCAACAGCCTCGTTAGATATTACCATAGAAATTATGCAATACCTGTTTTAAATAATACCGTTCAATATAAACCAAGAAAAAATAAATAGAATACGATGAAAATTATATTAGTATTTAACTTACGAATCTTGTTTCTTACGGTTCTTGAATCTTAACAATTTTTAGAATAACTGTCAAGAGTGAACGAAGGAAAGTAATTTGGGGAGGAGCTTGTTGAAAACATTTAAAATGTAAAATGTTTATAAATAGTATGCTTTAGAATTCATTATATAATATACATATTTATATATTTTATTTTCAAGTCTCAATAGTTATTGAAATAACTAATAAATTTATAGGTCAGGTCAGTTATTATAACATTTTTCTGATTAAGTTAGAGGTTGAACCCCCCCCCCTCGCCCTCTGCATTTGCGTCTAATAACTGAAAGTTGTCAGTCATCATCAAAGGTATATGCAAATTTTGAATATTTAAGGAAATCCAACCAAAATACTAAGGTCACTTATTATACTATATACTGAATGTTATACTATTCAGTTAGACTGTTATATTCTAATACATTTATTGTATTAATTTTATGAGATATACAAGCAATATGCTTGTATTCTCTTTTAAGTCTGCTACCTCAACGTATCGGATATTCCAAATCTATCGACTACAGTAGAATGTATTTCGATATTTTTACTATCGCAACAATTGATTTTGTTATACTACTAACCAGTGGCGTAGCTATCATAGGGCAAACCGGGGCAGTTCTTCGGGGTCCCAGAGCATGGGGGGGGGCACCTTGAACATTTCTGAAACTATATTTCCCTAAAATAATTAACAATATTAATGGTATTTAATAATAACTTTCCAAATCGTACGGGGTGGTTCCAATAACATTCAGTATTGAAGTAGAATAACATAATATACATAATACGCACGCAATGTTGGTTTGATTTTTACATCAGGTAAACTGAATTTTCTTTTTACTTTGCACTCTGTTAATTATCTAGCTATTCATTTTATTTATCATTTCGTAATAAATAAGCATTCAAATAAAAAGAAATACAAAAACAATATAATTTTTACCTTGAATTTTCATGTAAAGATAATATAAGTTAGAGAGCCTAGCTTACATACGGCACCGTGGTCATTTTCTGTGAAGCAACCCCACTTCTACTAACTTAGTGCTGTACTTTTTATTTGTTATTTTTTTTTCATAAGAAGATAAATACAATTTTACTGTAATATATGACCAGTACCATATGTAAGTCGTAGAAAATGAATATCCAAATTCCAAATCGACGAATTACATGAATGTGAAGAATAAATATCTAAATTTTTCAAATCTATCTGGCTATCTAGTA